CCCCCCCCCCCCCCCCCCCCCCCCCCCCCCCCCCCCCCCCCCCCCCCCCCCCCCATAAGATTTCTAAACTAAAAACTAAACTTAAAAAGAAAAAAAAACTTCTCCATTTAGTTCAATATCCTTAGCAGGGCAGTCACTTTTAGGATTAAATCAAGCAGTGGCCCTTGTTTTGTTTTTTTAAATTTGTATTTGTTTTAATTGGTGTTTGCATACTGTTTTAACTCTTGGTTTTATTGTATGCCGCCCAGAGTCACCTTCGGTGAGATGGGTGGCCCTATCGATTTGATGGATGGACAGACGGACGGACGGACGGACAGACAGACAGACAGATAGATCCCTGAAGTCACAACAGTTGGTAGCCAACTTTGGCAGAGCTTCAGAAAGCTAATCAGAGTTAGATCCGGTTAGTATTTGCAGGAGAGCCCATCAGCGTAACTCAGGGTTGTAAGAAAGACTGGGAAGTTGAAAACCTCCCTGAGCTGTTCATGCTTCAAAAATGCTTGAGAATTATTTCAGAATTTGCACACGCAGAGCCCCTGTCTCCTAGCTCATGAAAGCAGCCGTGTCAGCTTTTGTGTGAGCCTGAAAAATACGCCGCGGCTTTCAGGGTCCCACAAAAGCCTCACGGTTTTCACAAGCAGATTCATGAACACAATCATGGCTTTGTCCCTGCTTGTACAGAATCCTTAAAAAAAAAAATCCAGCTGCTTTAATGAACACAGAGGTGCTGTGCTCACCTGAGGCGCAAAGCACTTCTGCCAAACCATCTTTGAAGCATGCGCAGCCTTGAAAACGACCCCAAAAGAGCTACCACAAGCAAACGACAGGGACTTAGTCAAATCAGAGGCACTGAGGTCCTGTTTCCCACATCCATCGGTGTTCTCCCCCAAGCCCATCCTCTCACCTTGGATAGATTCCTCCTCGGAGGGAAGTTTGCCAGCGAAGAGTTCACCCCGCATGAGCAAAGCTCCAAAGAGGCGGCTGCAAGTCCGGATGGCACATAAGATTATCTCCTGGTCCTCGGCCTGCGGAGGAGCAGAAACCAGGATTTGGGGAAGGGAAGAGAGGGAGCAAAACGCAGAGGATTAAGACACAGCGGCTGCGTCTTCCTGATTCACAAAAGAAGATGCTCAGCGGCAGCCACACTCTGCCCATGCTCAGGGACAGCCTGTCCTTCCCCTGCCCTTATGGATGGCTCAGTTCATTCTCCCAAGCTTTTTTCCCTAAACGAAATGCTCTTGGAAAGAAGAAGATGGATTCACTCATGCTATTGAAAGCAGCTGCATCTTCCTGATTCACAAGAGAAGGTGCTCAGCGGCAGCCACGCTCTGCCCGTGCTCAGGAACACCCTGTAGTTCTTAGGGATGGCTCAGTTCATTCTCCAAATTTGTGTCCTTGCCGGTCCAAAAGGATCCCTCTCTTTGCACTGGCCAGAGAAATCCTTACAGTTTTGTGCCAGCTGCCGCATTTCACGTCTTTCTTGCTTCTCCAAGCCTCCCTTGCACTCCAAAAGAGAGGCCTTCAGACTCGACCCTGCCAACACCTGCTATCCTCAACCCCCCCCCCCCCGGAGAAAACACCGCTGGATTCAAGGTCCTGCGGGTCCGAAGCCCTTTGCTTT